TTGTAATAGATTTATTTAACAATAACTGCTAATCACTGACTGAACACTGAACAGTACGTTCCAGACTTTTATGACATCAGACATGCTCTGTGTCATCCATAAAGTATCCCATCATTCTGTGCAGCCAGACTTAATCTGGAGTGATTATTCATGGGTTGGATATGATCTGTTCACCTGGTTTGAGGTTATATCCGCAGCTTGGTTAACAGGGATCAGGGCGACAGCCGCGGCGGTGAGCATGAGAGCAGTGTGTTTGTGTGGTTCTGAGACTCTAGCCGGCAGTTAGCCACAGATCAGCCCTGAAGGGACAGCTAATCGATGAGCCTGTCGTCCGCTCAGGCCTCATCAGCCAACCTCAGGAGTCCCAGTTCCCGGTGATGAGCCCGGGCCGCGGTGCTCTGAAGCCCCATGGGAGATCTGGAGAAGGCCGAGGCCTGGGTGGCAGGGCAGGGGGGTCACCGGTATGGGTCATTGTCCTTGTTGGAAAGTCTGGAAAGCCTGAGCCAAATTGGGCTGCACGTGCGTCAGGGACTGCGGTAACTAAACTACGCCACAGACGGCGGTCTCGTCCCCTCAGAGACGTCTGCAAACCTCAGTTCTAGACGTCATTCGTTAGAGGAAACCATGCGGTTGCATTGCAGACACTGCGGCAGATCTACTCTATTCTGTCGGATAATGTCTTGTTCACATCCGATGACGTTCACTTTCTTTCTCTCCGTCTATAAACCTCCCTCCGTGATTCATTTCCTCTCTCTTTTCCCTCACTCTTTCAAGTCCTCTGTCCTCCACTCAGCTCCAGCATGTTATTTCACAGAAGAGGAATGTTACTACTCTAGTTAACACAGACCTCAGAGGCAAATAGCTGACATACATCATTAAGTCCACTGCCTTGGAAGCCATCTTTTCTTTAACAAGATGGGTCTCAATAGACATATTCATCATTACTGTCACACCTGAGGAAAAGGAGAGAGGGAACGACGAAGAAATTAAAGAATGGGAATATAACCGAAAGACTAGAAGAATGTAAAGCTATTGTTAATTAAGAAAAATCGAGCTGTCAATCAATTAAAAATGTAACCGATTTAATTAGAAGGATATTCTGATTAATTCATAAGATAAAATTGCATTTAATTGCATATATCTATAAATGATTTGCTTCGAAAATTAAGAGAATTCAAAGACTTTGATTTAATTTCTTTTAATAATGTTATTTTTATTTTCTCAATCTTGAAAATATTATTTATTCATGAATTGTTGTAATGAAATAATATTTTTAAATTTATATAAATTATTAATTTATGAAAATCATTATTGTGACAGCCGAACACTTTTAATAGTCATTGAGGGGCCATTTACACTATTTTTTGGCATGTTTTTAAATCGTTTAATTAGTTCGGCAAAGGAAAGTTTCATATAGTCAGCTATAATTGCACAAAAACAAAGGGAAGACATTATGCAAAAAATAAGGTTGTACTTCTTAAATTGATCAAATGGTTGAAAAAAAAAACAGTACATTTTAAAAGAAGGTTCAATTTGTTAATGCATTAAGTATCATGAACATTTTTACAGCATTTATTAAACTAGGTTAATGTTAATTTCTAAATATACTATTGTTAATTCATACTCACAAAGAAAAAAAAACCGACCACACCAAAATCCAGTAAATCACAATAAATGCTGTAGAAGTAATTGTTAAATCATGATATTTAATGCATTAACTGATGTTAGCTAATTTAACCTTGTTGCAAAGAGTTACCAATTTAAAAAATATATATATATTTTAAATAATTACTTACAATGCTCTGCTAGTATTTTGTAAATGTAATTTACATAAAAAAATCCATTAAATGAATTACGTTCATTTTTATCACATTATTTTCTTTATAATTAATCACACTCAATTAATGTGATAAAATGGCAGCCTTAGAAAAAAATACATAAAAAGCCCCAAATTTATGGTCATACCCGATCAAACACTATATCAAATGCATTCACTTTTTTTCTCCTCCACTTGATGAGAAATACTAAAAAGCAATTAACGCAGTCTGAAGTTGAACTCATCTGGGATGAGAGATTGAAAGGGGAGGGCGAGGGGGACGCATCAAGCTAAGGGTAATGTAGGTGCTCGGAAACATGTGGCGATCGGTAATGACTGCATGAGCAGAAAAACGGAGGGCAGCGCAAGGGCATTTATTACCGCTACCTCTGATGGGCTGACTGCAATATCCTCGTCATAATTGGCACACAGATGTCACAAACGCTGTTGACATTTCACCAAGCAGAAACAATTTGGCGCTGCGAAACGGGGCGGCGACGAGGCTAAGAGGGAACAGAAAACACAGGCTGTAAATAAACACAGAGAGATCCTATTAGCCGAGAAAGCGAGAGAACGAACGAGCGAGATGGAGGTGCTCAGAAGAGGAGGTGGAGAGGGCCAGGATGTCAGAGAAGACAGACACTAATGGATTCCTGGCAAGAATGTGTCATTTAAACGGGACGTTTTTATTGGAGTGAATGACACCATTACATTAAGCACACCTCTGCTTTGTGTTAATCACCGTGTCAACAAGCGCGATTAATGGATATTACTTGTTGATACTTGGTCCAAACTAATGGCTGCGCCTTCCCGCTTGACATTGCCGTGTATAACGAATAAAAAAAAGTTTGCCGGAGTGTGTGTGCGAGGGAGGGAGGGAGGGAGGAAGGAAGCCGTTTACAAAGTATCCTAGCACTCGCTCATTGTATTCAACAATGGAAAGGGTAATGGCTCTTAGATCTTATTCGACCCCTCCTGAGGATGTTTGAAGGAATATTGTATGTTCAATACAAATTAGACATACTGTTGATAACCACAAAAATGAGTGTTCCCCCAATAAAAAAGCCAAAAAATTTTAGTCACAGTGAAGCACTGAGTTAAAAAAAATCTAATCTTTCGTGTAAAGATCCAATTTATAACATTGTTACCATGACAATGTACAGCCTAAAACTCTTAAATGACTTTAAAAATGATAATTTAACATCATTACAGGTCAAATAGTGCACGTCTTAACAAGAATTAATAAGTGCCTTTATATTTAGGTTCATATTTCTGCTTTTAAATCCGGCACAAATTCTTAGGTTACATTTTATTTTGATAGTCCACTTTAGACATTCTAGACAACTACGTGTCAACTAAATTTTCCATTACATGTCAACTAACTCTCATTAGAGTATTAGTAGACTGTTCGGTTACAGTTAATGTTAGTACAATAAGTTGACGTAGTTGCAAAGTTACTTACAGACAGTAGAAAGTCTGTTGGCGGACTATTGAAATAAAGTGTTAGCAGATATTAAGCAGACAGTCTAGTAATACTCTAATGAGTAGCATTTGACATGTAGGTGCAAAGTTACTTATAGTTAGTAGAATGTATAAAGTGGACTATCAATTGGCACCATTCACTTCCATTGTAAGTGCCTCACTGTAACCTCGATTTTTGCTTTTTTTAAAGAAAACAGTGGAAAACAAATTATTTTCTTATCCACAAAGCTCTCAAACAAAGTCGTTGTGTAACAGAAGTAGCGTTTCTTCCATATATAATATATTTCTTCAATATATATATATATACAGTATATATATATATATATATATATATAAAATAGACAAGCGAGCAAACGAGCAGAGAAAAAGGTACTCCTCTTAGAAAACATACAAATAAAGACAATTTTAGATGTTTAATTACTATTTGGAGCATTGGGATTGCTAGACGAGGGCTTAATGAACTCATTTTTGTAAAAAGCTGAAATTTGACCAAAATCGACATTTTTCACTTTTTTTGTCTATAGCTCAAAATTAGCCCGTGCGCATTCCAACTCAGTTTGACAGCACGGGTCACATATATATATATACAGTATATAGGGCTGGAACTTGGTTCAGACCACTGGTTTTGATTGGATGAAGGCAGATCTGAATGCAAGCTGGCAGTCGATTATAAGAAAGTGACAGTGTTTTGGCAAGGTACGAAACCTGTTACTGGGTCTTTAAAAATGTACTATATACCAGGTCCTTTAATGTACTTTCCTTTAATGTCCTTTAGGTCCCTTAATGTACTTATATGCACCCTTTAGGGATAAATAAGGTACAAAAGTGCACCTTTTAAAAAAAGGTACTGTCCCAGTGACAGCTTTTGTACCTTTTTTTCCTAAGTGTGTGCAGGCGAAATGATTGGAGACGTCTGGAACAAGTCACCAGAGAGAATGTCTATCAATTCACCAGTAAATCGAAGGATGATATTTAGAAAAATTATGAGGTCAAAACTAATTTTAAAAAATGAAACATGCATTGCTGGCCAATTCACAATAAGATCAATAACATGCATTTAGAAAATAGATTTTCCATTTCCATTTCTGACTTTAACTCGTAATGAACCCAGACTATTTCTTTAACATTTGCCTAACGTTGCATTCCCCAAACTAACTTTTAATTGTTAAAATGGGACCAGCAGACACGCAAACGCATCGTCTTTCTCCTCGTTCACAGGCGTCAGGGTTCGGTAGGGAACGCTGGCCAGTAGACATGAGCTCTCGCTGGCGCTCCGACCTTGTCGAACTCTCGCTGCGAGCAAGATAAGCGGCCCTCAGGACGGGTAAACACACTGAGCGCTCGCTCTCGCTCTCGTTCCCTCTCTGCTGCCTTCTTTGTCTCTCTCTTCTGCCTGACCAGCATAATCTTCTTTCCAAAAGGTCAAGTGAGACAGCGGCCCGTCAGGCAGCGCTAAAGCCTGCGCTCCATCTGTGGGGTATATTTATGAAACAGCTGCAGGTGGAGAAGATGCTAGGTGCACTCTGGAGATACTCTTTCCAGACCGAGCGACGTGTCCGCAGGATAACGTACGCTAATATTTGAGTGGGCGGGATGCGGCTCTGTGGGGAATCCTGCAAGTTTTGCTAGTAATGAGTCCTTCTGCGTCCCTCTCGAGTTACGTAAACGCCATGTTTCTGTTTCTCGTTTCGCCTCCATGCAGGTTCTGCGTTGGAGACAAGTTCTTCCTGAAGAACAACATGATCCTGTGCCAGACAGACTACGAGGAAGGACTGATGAAGGAGGGCTACGCGCCGCAGGTCCGCTGACCACCCCACGACCCCGCTGCTCGCAGGAGGGGAAAGAGCTGCGAGAGGACCTGAAGGGAACATGCAATCAGACATAAGAAGCACTAGTATCCTCTCCAGCCCCTGTCCCCATTACATTGTATATACGAAGAGCCCACATAAGGGACGGTGTACTGTACAGTTTAGCCATAGACGTTTTTGGTAAGTGGGAGAATGTTCGAAGACGGACCAAGACTGATGCTGCCTGACGGCCTTATGAAGACCAGAAATCTCAATGGCCCGACTTTTGTGAACTTTAACACACACAAACGTACAACCCCAAGTCCACATCGCAATTGCATTTCACTTGCTTTACAGGGTGAAGACCACATAGTAAAAAAAAAAAAATCCAGTATTTATTGGCGAATGAGAAGGACCCATGTCAACATAAGATCTCAGGTTGAATGGGTTTCCTCATTGTCCTTTCTATTTTTCGTTTTCATCGTGTCTTAATTGCGTTTCCAGCAACAAGCTATTTGGATAAACACAAACAGCCAATCAGAAGATATTTGATGTTTAATGTAGAGTTACGAGAACCAATGAGATTTCACAGTGGGCGGAGCTACCCAGCACAATGCTACAGATATAGAAATGAAATATCCTGGCTGTTAAGGACAACTTCGTGAAATGGCACCTTGTTAAGACATGGTGTTAGCTTTCTAACAGATCTTTGAGCTTCGACATCTTCAACATCAAGTGGTGTGATTTCATTAGTGACGTTTTGAAAAACTTCTCTCACCCTGTTTTATACCTAAAAGACCCTAGCTGTCAAACGCGAACACTTTGAACATTTGGGTTTGGCACGTGTGTAAACGATGGGTTTGTTACTTTCTTCACTGTATTTATTTAATAGGCTTTTCGTCATTGCGCGTAACTCAAGGTTCTGTTCCTGACATGTTTATACCTGAACTGAATCACCGCTCAGTCGCCAAGCATCTCCTCCAGACGTGACGAACGTCGCCTCGTATTTTTTTGTGTGGCCCATGTTGATCAGCTGACATAATCCTCTTTAAACACAATCAGGTCGCATAAACTGTAGGCATTACTGGAGCACGTGAATACCTGGTCGGAGGATTTGCCTTTACCGGGTTTTGTTTACTATCGACTCAAGGCGACATGCAAGAGCAAATCACTACTGTAGCCTACTACGTTGATACTCCTTTTACGGGCTATGATTACCTTTGGAAACCGAGGGCATAGCCTAGAGAAATTATGAGGACAAACTTCATTTGTATATGGTGGTTGTACATATTTAAAAAACCATATTCCTTTTTGCTTGCTATTGTATATGGATTTTCTTTTTATGTGTTATTCAGCATGAGATGTTTATTTTTAGGATGTGTACATACTGTACTGTAATCATTTTAAGCACAAATGTAATACAGTTTTATTGTGTTAGCACTGTGTGGTGGCTTTCTTTGTGTCCTCTTTGTTTTTTCACAAAAAGCATTTGCCACTTTCCACAAACAGGGTACAAAATAGAACATGAAATACTTTAGATTCTTTGGTTTGTTTTTCAACAAATGGTCAGCGGAAAGAGGTGCTCAAAAACAAAAAAAAACTAAAAAAAAAGTTGACTAAACTTAAAGAAATGTACAATTCTAAATTGAATTAAATTAAAAAAACAAAACAAAAAAAATGATTTTATTCATATAATTTATGTAATGGTTGATCTTGAGCTTCCGCAATGGGTCCAAATAATGTTACTGTTTTTATTTTTAGGATAAAATCAAGATGATCAAGACACCTGAGGTGGAACTGGTCAAAATCCCTATTTAAGGAGACATTATGCATTTAAAACTAGCTGATTTTCATGCTAGGTTACCTTCAGGTTAGATAATAGTTGATTAAAACATATGTAATAGTTCTCTAACAATAACAAATATGAAATTTACACCACTAAAAAAGTCAAGGTACACCAAAATTTTGGGAAAATGCCATTTGGAGAATAGATCCCTCTCTCTCTCTCTCTGTCTGTAAAGAAAGCCGATGGGCCGGTTTGCATACACTGTTATTTCTAAGAAGGAGTGTTTACTGAAGCAATTTGGGTTAAGTGCCTCACTCAAGGGCACAACTGTCGATGCCAAGCAGCCAGTGGTGAACCTTCGGGTCTCCACTCCATTAGCCTATCCACCAGACCATGCTGCACTTCCGGTTCTGTGATTGATCATAAGTGCAATTTGTCATCCATTTTGTTGTCACTGCCCCTCAAAAATTTCCACCCCTTTAGTCTGGGGAAAGGAAAAAAGGGTGAGAGAGAAAGAAATAGATCCACCAGTCCAGCTAAAAACAGCTGCGTGTTTAATAGGGAGGTGTTTTATCATAAAGGTAGTCACCAGGTCAAAATTAACCTTGATTTTGGCGATTAAGACCCTAAAACAAAGCAGAGGGCTCTTAGTTTACCCTGTAGGGGTTCATTTAGGCAATATGATGCAAGCAGAGTGCAGTTTTGAATATACTGAATATCGTGTAGAGATTCAGAACAACAGCACAGCTGCAAGTTTGAGATTCAGTAAATTTGTAAACAAGAACTTAATATTGATTGACTAAATAACTACATTAAATATTGTTTTTTTTAATTTTTTTATTACAGTTTAATTGTTGGATGTGATTTGGATCCAATCCTAAAATGTAATAAATAAATACATAAATATATTTTTAATCCGATTTCAATTTACGATCAGGTCTGTAAAGGTCAGGTCTTGATCTCCTGTTCTGTTTTACTGACAACTAAAAGACTAAACCGATGTGAGTCGGATTCATATGATAGTTTTTGCTTTATTACAAATAAAAAAAAAATACACTTGTATACTCTTATAAAAAAAATAACCACTACAAATCTCAATCGTCTCATATCATTGTGTGGCTGCTCTCTAAAACAAAAAATAAAATAAAATAAATGTGAATGTAAAATAAATGTGAATGAGAAATGTAATTGAAAAAAATCAACCACAAAATGATACAAGAGGCATAAAATCATAGCTATGAATCTAGGAAATCAGCTGCTTGAGACAATAATCGGATACATACGGTCATAATGCAAACATTTGATGAGAATTATGTATGCCAGACAGTTGTGTAATGAAAACTTGCAATATTGTCTGCCTATAAACCTATAGATGTATGTAAGGAAGGCCCACACTTGAGCTATTTAAAAACTTTTGTAGTTTGCTTTGCAAGCAAAGCCAGAATATTGCTTGAAGATCCTCTTCACTGTACAATTGAAACACTGAGATTAAAGTTCTCCATCTAATTAAGGAGGCTGTTTAAAGTAGCCTGTGAAGTTTGACAACAGCGGCACTCACATCACATTACAGCTTATAATAAGCAGACCAATTAAACTAATTGAATTTCTTTAGCCTGAACACAGAGGGAAAAATGTCTTTGATTAGACTCAAGCTGTTAAGTCCTTCCATAAAAGCAGAGACGGCTCTGAAACCTCGCTAGATAACAATCCACTCGAAGGGAACTGGAGCGATCTACTCCGCTAATTTACCATAATTGAAGTGTTTGAAGGAAGATTTAATGAAACCATACCGTTAGTGGTAACTGTGGTCATTGAAATATATATATATATATATATATATATATATATTTACACAACATAAGAACTATAGTGCAATACAATCATGCACAATACAATTTAGCAAAGTACCATACTGTTGAGTAATATCACATAGTTGGCTACAAAAGAAAAGGGTGAGCAACAAATGAATGTGTGCACACAGTTTGAGCACGCTTTGTATGGCACTACTTGCATGCTACATTATTTAAATAAAATTTTAATCATATTTCAGTTGTAGTTTGGGTCAGGTTTTGAAATTCAAATAAATAAATAGTAATCATATTTAACACGTTAAATGTAATTTGTATCAGTTCTTAAAATAAATTAATGAATAAATTAGGTCTTGAAATATAAATAATTAAACAAAATGAACAAAAACAAATACAAAATATACTAAATGTCATAAATAAACAAACAAACATTTTGATTGTATTTTAATTGTTGGATGTGGTTTGGATCAGATCTTGATATTCAATGAATGAATCAATGAATGAATGAATTAATGAAATCAGATTTCAATTGTTTGATGTGATTTGGATCAGTTCTTGAAATTCAATGAATGAATGAATGAATGAATGAAATCAGATTTCAGTTGTTAGTTATGGTTTTGATCCATTTTGATCTGCTGTTCAGACAACAAAAAACTAAACTGATTTGAGTCAGATGCACCAACAAGCTATTTTCTACCTATTTCAACAAAGTCAAAATAGATACAATAGCATCAAATTTGGGTTTTTGTTCCTCTGTCAGAACCCCTCACCTTGCATTGTTGTATTTCTATGTAAAAGGAGCTTTCATCACGTCTTCTTACTCAGAGAGAAAGAACACTCTGAAAGCACTGAGGGAGAGTCTTATTTAACACACTGTTATTGTTTTATCAGGGCTATTCACAGGATCGTTTGTTTAAGACCAATGCTCGACAAAAGAATAAAAGATAACGTGTGTATAGCGCAGAAACATCTCGTCTTCAAACCTCCAGCAAACAGCAAGCTGACTAAAGCAAAACGAATAATAAAATGCAAGATCCTTTCATAAAATAGTCATTAGGGGCATTTAGAAAGAGAATTAGCTGCCAGGGCATGTATCATTTGTGGCTCCCCCTCCACACCGCGGCTGACCGCCGAGTCTGAGCGGTGGCCGCTTTGCTCACACGGCTCTTCTCGTTTGGCAAACGGCTCCAGGGGCGAAAATAATGATCTGCATAGACATGCCAATGCTATCTGGACCAGATAACGCTGTCTTAATGACTCCTTATCCTTCGGCCTCTTCGTAGAGATGGGTGCCACAGCAAATATATTCCCGTCATTGGGTCATTAGCTCTTTATTGCACCGATAATGGACTTAAGAATTTTTGGTCCAATTCGAGTGTACGGTACCCAGCGGAAAACAGCCCTCGGATAGATTAGCCAACGGCTAGTACGGATGCTCAATGAGCTCTTTTCCCATTCCTGATTAGTGGATCATTAGCTGGTATTGGCTAAACACAATGACACTTTCTTACTCAAAAACAAAACCTGATAAAGACGTTGTAATAGGGTCTGGATAATGGTAATCACTGTACTCAGTGTATAAAACACATCCCTAATCACACTTAACATTCACAAATCTGGATTTTGCTAGCCTTTTTGTTCAGAGAAGCTGCAAAAATTTGTAAAATCTGATCTATGTAGATCCTTATATAAGAAAAGAGTGAGCAAAAATGAGGACACTGGCATGTTTGTCTATCCTGCTTAGTAAAAAACAGTTAGAAATGCTTTGATAGATCAAACGTTAATTAATAAATACAATTTCACTACAATATATGGTTTGTCTTTGTTCTTTATGGCGTGTCTCAGGTATTTGTACAAGAATAGGGCCTGTAGGGATGTTTATGTGAGAAATTAGCCTTTAGCATTGAATAGAAAGCTACAAACAATATCTTTTCTACCTCATTCCTGACTA